GACCCCAGGGACGATCCACGGCCGAATTAAGAACTAATAATTTATCTGCCTCAAGCCGGGATTTGAACCTGGGTCCTTGAGTATTGGAAGCTCAACACCCTACCACTGAATAACAAATACGTGAATAATAATTAGATATTTCAACCTTCATAACCATAATAAGTGATAATTTCATAAAAGGAATATGATTAATGTTCATTGATATTCTATTTCATTGATTTTAATTTCCTACGAATTAAACATTATTCCGGTTATTGTTAAACATTGTTCCGGTTCAAGTTTTTTTTTTTTTTTTTTAACTTTTATTATGATATTTACAACTGTATTAGTATGAATACATTAAGTAAATTTGTACAGAGAAATATTATTACATGGAACACGCTTGTTGAGAAACTACCCACTGGTAGCACTCCAATAATTTGTCTAAATGAGAAGATCACGAGGCCATCTTCTTTTCAGACGCCTCGGAGAGTTATCAGGAATCGAAGAGGAAGCAAGGTTAGAAACAAGAGGATTCGGATGGTTGTGAAGTTTATTATGGAAGGATAGGTATCTGGATTTGGCCAAATCGGAAACATATGGAACATTGAGGTCTTTATGGATTATTTTATTAGTGACAAAGTAAGGAGCATTGAGGATTTTACGAAGGATTTTGGATTGTAAGGATTGGATGCGAGAGGAATTCGATGGTTTAGTGGAGCCCCATAGCTCAACTCATTAAGTCCAAATAGGTCTTATTATAGTCAAGTATATGAGTCTTTTGTAATTAAGGGGAAGTTTAGAGCGTTTGTCTAGTAAGTGTTGGAGTAGTCGGAAACGTCGAGCGGTTTCTTGTCGTTTCAGTCTGGTATGAGGATTCCAAGTTAGACGTTTGTCCAAATGAAGTCCAAGGTATCGGATTTGTTCAACAGGGATAAGTGGGGTATTATTAAAGGATACTGTGGGACATGAGGTCATAGGTTTACGTCGAAGGGTAAAAGTGATTTGATAGGATTTATTAGAATTTATTTTAATCCTCCAGTTTGTGATATGTGATTGAAGAGTTTGGGATGCAATGGTTGGGTCATTATTAACGGATAGGACACATGTATCATCGGCGTACGTGGTAATAACAGTGTTAGGATGGGTTGGGATGTCAGCTGTATAAACTATGTAAAGGATAGGACCAAGGATACTACCTTGAGGAACTCCGGCAGATTGTGAAAAGAGGGATGAATAGGTATTATTGTGATTTACTTTGAAGTGCCTATCAGTAAGATAGGAACTGATGATAAGAAAATATGTAGGGGAAAGGAATTTACGGAGTTTGTAAAGCAATCCCGGATGCCGGTTCAAGTTAAATATTGATTTATTATATTTAATAATGAACCATTGTGATCGACCTAAAAATTCAAAAACTTAACCATCTCCCAAATTTTGAGGTTTCACGTTTCAGGATACGTAGAATTCGAAAAATGAATAAATTTTTTTTGTCCGTCGACCGTCTGCCGTCCGCCGTACGCGCATTTTCACCGAAACTACTAGACCGATTTTTTTTCAAATTTGGATATAAAATCAGAGGTCACTCGAGGATGATCCTCCTTCATCGACATTACTATCCGCCTTTTACTTTCAAAATGGCGGCCGAAAAACCCACGTTGGTATAGCCTGTAGCGCCTAAATGAATGTACCGATTTCAATGAAACTTCGCTAAAGTCATTTTCTCGACGCTCTTTAAATTTATCTATATAACATCTTCAATGAAAAGGAGCTGGAAAAAAAGTTACGAGGGATGGTAAAATTAAATTCCGTATAATTCAAAAAGTATACACTTTTTTGTCGATATTGTATATGGTTTTTTAAAATGTTATACAACTTTTAAATTAATTTCCTAAAAAAATCGGACATTTAGGAGCAAAGATGTGGTCTCTAGTTTTCTTTATGTTTTACTGCAAATGTTGTATCCTTTGTTTTGGTTTTTAAATTTTGACTGTATTACTGAAGTAATGCTATTTTTGTTAAGCATATTACTAATAATAAAACAAAAGTTTAGTCCAATAATTGGAATCACCTTTTATCTATTTTTCTTTGGAACTAGGAAGGTATTTAATTTTACTTTAGATCTATGATTGTTTGAAAATAATAAAGTATTGTGATATAATTTGCAGCGTATTTTTTTATTTTTATAAAACATAAAATCTTCTATGAGTCAGTTTTATTTCTTGTAATGCGTGAGTCATAAGTTTGTTTATTTAATTAATTTAAAATTAACTTCTCAAAAATATTATTACTAAATAAACGAACAATGAACGTTTGCAAGACGTTAGCGATTATACATTTCATGTCGACGATGCCTGCTAGGATCCTATCAGTGAAAGTTGTTCAATTGAAACATGATCAGTTAAGACGTACTTGAGGAACGTCATATTGGAACTAATAGGAACACGACGGGATTGAATAGTTACAAAGTTACAGCCACATCACGCGAGTTAACGACCCATCCCAGCTTTGGCAAGGTTATTTTCACGATTGTTCCCCTCCAGACGTCAGAGCCTTTGGCTATCGGTGTAACTTCTGCTGCTACGAGTATAGTTTAGCGATTTCCACCCCCTGAATGAATTAATGAATGGTACAATGTTGAGGTATGTCCTGACTGGCATTATGTAATTTATGTTCTATATTATATATTAGGACTCAGCGAAAACCCATGCATCCTAACCTCGAATATAAATTGTTCTAAATATGTAATTTTAATAAACCTCTAGAGCAGCTTGAATTATTAAACACTGTACTAAATTATATTTCGGCTTGAAGTTTATAGTTGGATTGAATTTCATACATAATGGATGTATTCAATCCAACTGATAAGCTCAAAGAGCTTCAATAACATCAGCCAACTGATGATCTTCAATATCACTCACATAATCGTCTTTATTTGCTTGTCAGTAACATCAAAAAGCCACGCTAACATAGAGATACAATTTTGGTTTATTATTTTCAATAATGAAACATTGTCGACGAAAAAATTCAAAAACATAACCCCCTCTCATAATTTGAGGTTTCACGTTTCAAGACGCCTAGAAATCAAAAAACGATTAAAAATGTTTTTGTCCGTCCGCCGTCCGCGCATTTTCTCCTAAACTACTGGACCGTTTTTTTTTTTCAAATTTTGATATAAAATCAGAGGTCACCCGAGTATGATCCTCCTTCATCGACATTACTCTCCGCCTTTAACTTTCAAAATGGCGGCCGAAAAACCTGCGTTGCTATAGACTGTACCTCCTAAACGAATGTACAGATTTCAATGAAACTTCGCTAAAGTCATTTTCTCGACGCCCTTTAAATTTATCTATATAACATACTTCAACGAAAAGAAGCTGGAAAAAAAGTTACGAGGGATGGTAAAATTAAATTTGGAATAACTCGAAAAGTTTTTACTTTTTTGTTGCTATTGTAATAGTTTTTTAAAAATTTACGAAATTTCCTAAAAAAAAAAAATCGTTAAAATCGGATAATTTGGAGCAAAGATATGGTGTCCGGTTTTTTTATGTGTTCTACTCCAAATGTTATATCCTTGGTTTGGTTTTTAAATGTGTTACTGAACTAATGCTATTTTTTTTTAGCATATTATTAATGATTAAAGAAAAACAGTTTAGTCCAATAATTGGAATCACCTTTTGTTTTTTTTTTTCTTTGTAACTCGGGAGGTAATGTTACTTTAGATGTATAATTGTTTGAAGATAATAAACCATTGTGAAATAATTTGCAGCGTTTCTTTTTATTCTTTAAATTGTTATTCTTGAAAATAAACATGCTAGTTCTATCGACTATGTCCAAAACTTCAACTTAAAAAAAAATTAATTTAGAAGGTTTGAGGATTATTTCACATAATTATTATGAATCATAAGAAGAAATGGTAAATTTTCTGTTCATTCTATATTTTCAATGTAATTTTAAAATTTATTTGTTTTTTTAACGATGTTAAGAAACACATATCAAATGAATATTCTTCAAGTACGATTTTTATTTTTTTTTATATATATAATCTTGTTTCATTCTGCATCCTGTGTTGTATTTTCTTTTGTTGTGTCATTGATCCATTTTAAGGTTTTCCTGTTCAAAACTTTCTTGTAATCTTACAATTATTTTGTTCCTGGCAATCGAGGTGATGGGAATTGGAGTTTATAATTGTTAATAATTTTATTAGGTAGAATATATATCATTTTTTTTTTCGGGATTTGATAAATATTACTAAGCATTGAAGGAAAATCCACAGGGAAGGGCAAGGAAATTCCATTAAGCATACTGAAACTCTTTTAAAAGTTTATTAATCATTCAGTTGATATTTGACAACTATAATTATAAAAATTATATTTGTAGTTTTTTAAAACTTTCTTCGTTATTAAAATGAAGCTTTTGAAATGACTTTTCCTAAGTTTAGAGATTTTGAAAGTTCAGAAGTGTCTGAATTTCTTTTAACATTTTTAAGGGAATTTTCTATTATATTTCTCTATAATCAAATGCTTCAATTTTGATTAATATATATTAAGAAGGGAATGAGGTCAACTAAGGAATTATTGAAATACTTAAAAATTAAAATTAAAAAAAAAGCTAACGAATCAAAAAAATAAATAAAACATGATAAAATCTGGATTTGCATATAGAACCAATGCTTGCTGAGTTCGCATACTAAATTGTTTCCCAATACTTGTGTAAGAAGTTGAAACCACCTGTTAGCAGAATGTGACAAGATTTTAATTGTATATTTCTTTTGTTATATATTAGGAACTATACAACTATTTTTTGAATTAATAGTTGTATGTCTCCTGTGATGCTATAAAGCAATTCTGAAAATATCATTCACTGATGATTAATGCTGGAATAATCACCACCTACCTTTGAATATAAAGTTAAATCGCTTCACAACCGCAACTTCTGTAAGCCCTCTAGTCCATCTTGTCGGATAACGGCATGGAACCCGTGGGATAGCCGCTTCCTCCTGCTTGTCCCACGGTTAATTTATGCTTCTGATTTATTCCCAGCAATGCCCTACCGTGTATTTAGGGCCTTGGTGCCCAGTTGAGGCCTTGTCCTTCCCTATGGCTCCTATCTCACCTGCGCCCCAGCACGTACATCACTAACTCATTTATCTCCGGTAGCAAGCACAAAACATTATCATCATGTAATGGAATATGTACCAATAATATATACATCTATCTTATAATTATATCTCATGAAATATCTATCTAATATGTGCACCCTCTTTAATTCTTTGAGTATCATATAGGGATATTTATGTATAGGTCCACTATTTAAGTGCAAATATAATACATTTGAAGGATCAAGTTTCTAAATCTAATTCTTGAATTTTATGATGCAGTCGCTTTTATATAAATTACATATTTTTATCCTAAAATATTCCCTTTCAAGATACTGGATATGTTTCCATGCAATTACTCTATTAGTAAACCAGAAATGTGGGAAACACTAATGTTTTATTTATAGAAAAATCAGATGTATATATATACCCAATATTCATTGTAGTTATGTCTTTAAATATTAACTCCTCTAGCGATGCCTCAGCCTACCACCAAAGTTATTTAAGACAAGGAGCTTGACTTAATTATCAAAACCGTTTAGGCTTAAGCAGACAAAGGTAGAATTTTAAATGAAGTATTTTAATGAAATTGATTTTTTTTTTTTTTTGCATTTTGCATTTTAAGAAGATAAATAAAAAATACATTGTTCGTAACTGAATTTGGTCGTATAATTTATTAGCCTTAAAATAATTATGCACTCTAGGATTTCATCATAAGAAAGGGCAGAAGACCATAGCTGTTGAATAAATAATTAAGTGTGGACCAAGCACTGTTATTATAGATGTTTAATTGAAAAAAAAAATGGTTAGGTGATGCGATCTTTTGTCTCTTACCTCATGGAAATAAACACTCATTAATTTTTTACACAAAAAAATTATATTTTTGGAATAGTCCTTTCTCTTTCTAGGTGAATAAGAACCCAAAATCTAATATTGCATGCACAATCTTTAATGAGGCACGGTTTTAATAAAACTTAATTTTTGAAATATTTTATTACATAAAGTTGAAGCCATAAATTAAAAAGACTAGAGAATAGCGTTAAAGAGAAGCCCACATAGTGATCTCTTTGAAAGAAAAATAAGTCCTCCTTCGGGATTCTGAAAACCTCCCTCTCTCTCTCACTCTCTCTGTTGGACAAAAAACTTTTTTTTTAACAGTAATGAAACCTTTGTATCTATAACCATAAATTAATTATGAAATGGTTTTCTTCTCTGCCTCTAATTAACTGAGAATTATCCAATTCATTATCGTCGAATTACTGTTGACTTCTACCCCTTGACTGCAGGTCATTATACAGATATTATTTAAGTAAATGTTGACATTTGATTTCTTGAATGAAGAAATCATAAATTTACGCGTTCATTAAACAAAGCCGGCACTAAATTTCTCTCGGAAGGGGCATGCTTAATTTTGCCGCCTCTTCTTTAATCTCCACTCCAGAACCCACGCATGAGGATTGACTGACTCATAGCGCCTGTATGGGAGACTCGTATGGATTGCCTGAAGCACTTAATAGAATTTTATAATATATGTTTTATAAGATTAGACAGTTATTTAGAAGTTGAAATATTAAAAATTTAATCATAGCATCATTAAGTATATCGTAGAAAAAAATAAAATAAATATATCATCACAATATGAAATTACTAACAGACACAATCACACATATCCTCATACAATACCGCCAGAGTTAAATACTTACTTTTATTTATTTATATATATTTTTTAATTATTTATATTTGTTTCTTTTTTTCTTTTTTTGTAAATATTGTATAAATGAACTCTTGTTGTTCTTCATGAGGCAGATTGTATTTCAGTAAACCATTAAAAAGAAAAGAGTTAAATGCCACCTTGTTCCATTCGAATTCCGACCCTGCTCTGCATATAATTGGTAGACAGATTCAGTTTTGTTCATATGATCCATGGAATTCCAAAATGTCGTTAAATTCACCAAATCTAGTTTTACTGAAGAAACAACTATTCACCTCTCAACTTCATCATAAATATTGTCCACTAACTTATGGAGTGCTTTTTATTTTCTTTAGGTAATGCGTTAATTTTTTTTTTTTTTTTTTTTGTTAACCATATTTATTGAGAAATATTACATTCTGTTCCAATTAAGGAAATTGTGTAATATAATTCATTTGTTGCATCATCATTACTGTCATAAAAAAAAAAATTGTTTCTTCTTTACGGGCAATGGAGGCCGTACTTCAATTTGATTTCAAATCTGTTCTGCACTATTCTATTGGTCTTACTAGCCTTGTAGATTATTGCCGATTTACCAAACCTACTCCATCTCTGCCTATCTTGGGATATTTCTTTTCGGATACCTGCATGCAGCTCGATATCTCATATTCGATACATCTAGTTTTTGTTCTTCTGCGTAATCACTTGTCTACTATTGATGCATTCACTGATAATGGTTTCAATGTTTTGCAATGATTCTTATGTCCATAGAGTGTGCAGAAAACGTGTAAAATCTTCAATTCCAGGGTGTTAGTGAGTTATTTGGCTTTTTTATTATCACAAATTTGAAAATTACCCTCATAGTAATGGGTACATTGCATTTCGTGTATTTTTGCTTCCACGATTGCAGGACCAGATTAAAAACTCTTTCCAAAAATTACATTATTTTTAACTTTACAACACATTGCTAATATATACACTTTAATTTAACAAATTGTAATATCATTCAGTGTGACTTTGTTATAGCTGAGTTACAATAGCGAATCCTATCCTCAACTTTTCTAGAGTGATTGGACCTCACTAAAAATTAAAACCTCTTACTCAAGGAAGAATGTTTAAAGACTTGTAAACGGACAGCAGTAGAAGTATTTTGAAAAAAAAAAAAAAGGAATTTTAAAAAGCTCTTTTAGACGAATTAGTGAGGATTAAACACTTATCGAGATTTATATCATTGAAAAAACTGGCGATATACAGACGAGAGGACCCGGCCACCTGTGGCGAAGAACCAGATGCCATCCGCAGCCCGCGGGTGGTCCACCCTTCAGCTACTACTTCCTTAGTAACGACTGTTTAATACCAGCTTATAGCAGGCGAGTCACCGCTCCAACGGGCCGGTCCAAATTGTATGTAATCGCTTTTACAAATGAGCAGCATTAACAGGTTACGGTATGAGGTGTGTGAGCGCGAGTATTAGTCCTAATGCCGCAGTCGGCTCTTGCGAATGTCAGCTAATGGACTCTAAGGGAAACCGATAAACAAAATTACGAGGAGATCAGAAAGACTTTCTCTATAACCGCATCTGATTAACCTCAAGAACTAGGGTTAGGTGCAGGAACTAAGCACACTGGTACCTTTATTATGTCTTATCGCGCTCAAAATCTTTAATTTAATATTTAATATTAAATCTTCAAATTTTCAAGTGTATTTTTAATTAATTAATAAAATTAAAAATTTCAAGGAAATGACTTATTAAACCCTTTTACCTCCTCTCAATGATTTAATTCATTTTATTAATTATTTATTTATAAAAAATGGACATTAGGATATAAAAAAGATAGGACGAAAATGAATAGCATTTTCAGGAATGAAAAATTTCAACAAAAATAATTTTTAACTAGTGAGACGTGTCCAAAATTATTTTTAAATTGTGGAATGGACTTTTCATAAATAATTATTGGAAGAAGATGAGGATATGAAAAGGATATAAAAAGTTGGACTTGAAATTGGGAAAAATTGTCCTGAAACGTTGTTGTAATAAATAAAATAAATTGAAGCATTGAAAAGAGGTGAAAGGGTTTAATAAGTTATTTCATTGAAATTATTAATTTTATTAATTAATGTATTTAAAAAAAAAACACGAAACACTTACTTACTTAAGGCCTTTTGGACTTATGCTACACAGATAAACAGATCAGCCAAAAAGACACATACGAAAACTACAAACTTTTAAATCAAACACTTTCAGGACTATCACGAATGCTCTTTGGTTCGTCAATAACATAACTTTACATAAAGACCTACTTACATGAACATACCAACTTACTGATTCAAGGCATGGCCACAACCAACATGCCCGATGGCATCCGTAAGAGCCTCAAAAGAAGCTGGATGAGGGATCTCCTCCACTAACTATAAACATAAAATCAAGTTAGGAAAGGACGCCTTCCTTTTCCTCACGCCTGCTAACGTCTTAATCCATACTCTTCATTCCGGCAGCACACTCGCTGGTTATTGGTATTTCCAACAGGTGCGAGTTAAAAAAAAATAAATAGAAATGAAATTTCGTAATATTTTATTTTAATTTTACTTTTACACAAGTGTTTCGCAACTCTTTAAATCTACCGCTGAAGTGAAAAGAAAACTGAAATACTTGTACCAAATTTCAGTTACCAAAAAAATAAAAGTAAAAACCTTAACCTTTATGTTCAAATATTTCGCCCTAACAAATGTATTCATTAATAGTTTATGTACATGGTAGTACCATTATATATATGCGATATGAAATTTAAGACCTAAGTGTATGGTTGACCTGGGCAGTATTTCAAATTAAATGTTTTATTATATTTTTCATTTTAAGAAGTATTATTAAGTGAACAGTTTTAGAAATTAAAAAAGGTAAAAAAAAAGAAAAGTGTAAAGATAAAATCTAGTTATGCACCTGATTGACGCTACAGTTATAATGATTTAGACTTAAAATTTCATTAAGGAAATGTATTTAGAAAATGTCAGCGATACTCGTAACTTTCCTGTTGAGGAATCCAAACCATAAAGATCTTATTCTTTTTATTAAATAAAATAAATTGAAAGACGGTGAGGTGTAATTTAGATGTTAGAACCTTCTCTCATCATCAAAGATCTTGCTTTTACTTCTTATGAGAATTTGAATCCGTTCTCTGCCTCACAGAATACCTGTCATCACCTTTTTTGGGCCTCGAGCTATTTTCTAAATGACCGAGTCTTTCATAACTGCCACGTTATTAAATATAACAGTCTCGCATTCCAATCTTTTATGTGGTTGCTATTTAAAACTTATCATCGTTAGGAGACTATGAAGATAAATTGAGAAGTAATTTAAATTAATCAATGGACTAGTTAATCTATTCAGTCAAATTTTACTTCTGTTACATCAAGAACAGAAAATTGCGATCGCAGTGAATGAGCCTGTTAGGAGTTTAGCCCTTATAGTGAATGACCCTTTCAGAAGTCGCCGAGGCCAGTTTCTTGGAAAGCTCGAGTTCAGTTGTCAAGTTGTCATCATGAAGAAACCTGCAAGCTGCTTGAATAAAAGAGTAGTGCAGCCTGTCTTGAAGAATGCAACAACTACGCACCTGTGCAGTTCCACTTTTCAACGTTTGATGTACATCAAATATGTATTACTTTTTTTTTTAAGTATATTCATTCATTCTACATCATTGTAATCATAAAGTTACCTAAATGCTTAAGGAATGATTTTCTAGGCGTAAGTTTGTTGAGGTCACCGAAGGAGAACTCCCATTTTGCCCAACTTCAATACCCTCTTTATATTGCTGAGTAGGCCAAACGTCTTTATGGGTTATAAGGTTGGACCTTGCTTAAGAAACATGCCAGCTAGTTAAAAGTAGCGGGTAAATCCAGACGGTTCTGTGTTGCGATCAACAGTATCAGTGCCACGCTGGGAGTGGGAACTGTTATTGAAGCCCTTGAGGAACGTCAGTTCAAACCGTTTGGCCATGTTTGTTGAATGGGAGATGGCCGAAAGGATCTCTAGCTGATAGAAGCTATGTCAATAGGAAACCATCCTTTTTGGTATATCATGGATTCCTGGGAAAACGGAAGGATATAAATATATATATAGTCTGGTTCAGAGGAATTGCATCAACCAGTAAAAGGTTTATTTTTATTTACTAGATTGTTACTTGCAAGATCTCCGGATATTTTTTTGCCAATTTTTTAACGATGTTCTAAAAACAATCCACCATTAAGTGGTCAAATTGTTCGTTTACTCTTTTCTCCTATTTTTCATACCATGGTGCCTTTTCTTTCTTTTTTTAAAGCTACTGTTGATTGGTGGTAACCTTTTCTCCTTACTATATCCTGTAATAATTTCTTCACTTCATGAAGTGGATATCAAGTCCTGATATCAAAAGAACCAGCAGGTGTAATCCCTAATATACTGTTTTCGAGATAAATCCGTAATTCTTGTCGAAAACTTTTAGTTTCCACGGAATACTTATCACATGTTTATGTCTTAAAAATTAAAATATTGCTATTTATTATATATATAGTCTTCGACGAACTAAAAATCTATTCAACTAAAAATCCAGTTCTAAGTGAAACTCCTAGATGAACACACCTCCCTGATGAAGACCTGCAACGTCGGGTCGAAACGTTGGCTTTCAATAAAATAGTTTTACCACTATTTAGCCTATTTACGACCGCAACCCCGACCATCTCCTTCCTTTAAAATCAATTCTGTTGGTTTATGAAGGAGAATCGCACAATGATCTCTTAAGCAGCCTGGAAAATATTGAAAGAAACTTTTTGATGCCTTTAATAAAATTTTAAAAATACTCAGGTATGACTTATAGAAAAACTAAATTTAGAGAGAACTACAATCCACGTCTCTTTTGTCCTTAACAGATTGGTTTTGAGTTACTATCAATTAATATCAATATTACGAAAAAACAATTTTTTTTTTTCTTTTCATTCTGCTTACATTGATATATTATAATACTAACAATATGTCATGTATTTTCTTAAACTAAAAATACTCGCAGGGCTTCCAGTGGTATTTATAACAGAGGGGATCCAATATCCAGGTCAGAAGCAAATAGAAATACCCTCAGGTTCCATGTGTAAGGGTGTTGGGTGTACCGTTGCAGGCAGGGAATCTTTGCCAATGGGAAGTGGTCGCAAATTGGGTCTAGTCTAATACCAACACCTTTCTATTACAATCTGTTTATTTTCATTTTTAACTCTCTATAAAGTTTAATATTCATTGATTTATTGATAAAGGCACTTTCAGTGCGTTCAATTAATAATAAATTAACACTTTGTTGGTGATTTTTACAATAACAACCTATTTGCAACAATTAATATATTAAATAATGAGTGTTTTTTTTTTAACTTCAAATATGTATCTTCACCTGTCTTGATATTCAAAATCAGCAGATTTGTTGTGATAAGTAATGATTGACATTATAGACATGAAAGGAAGGATTGCACTCAGCAGCACCTCTTCCTGGTTATTATTTACTTTATTGAATTAGGCGAGATCTCTCATCCGGCTCCTTTAGTGTTCTCCTGTTTTTGTCATAAGTCGTTATGTAAAGTTTTGTTATTTACGTACCTCTTATAAGTAGTAAAATTGGACTATTGTTCAAATGAACGTTTTTGTAGGTCTTGAAGTCCAAAATATGTCCCTCTACTTATGGGACCCCCTGTAAATGGTACGGATGTGAACATAGTGCCATAATGCCAAATAATTTATATATTTGCCTTTGATTGTAGCAGATTACATTATTTTTCTTCTAATATAAATCGTTAAAGACAAATTATACTTAATAGACCTAATCTATTATTTTCTTTAAATAGCTGAGCTATTGCCCTTTCCCTTATTCTTTGGCTCTATGAGGCTAAAACGAAATATAGAATGGTTGGCGTTGTAACTTAAACCCTATTAATTAAAACATTATTTAATGAACTTATGATCCGTTTAATAAACAGTGTAATTTATTATTCTCTAATTATCCTGTCGCTTTTCTAATGAAAACATTACAAATTGCTCAATGAATCATTGCCACAGTTGGCAACCGTTGATGTTCTTTTAAATTGGCAAAACGCGAAGGTGTCTTGTCAGCACTTACATCTGTCAGCGGGCGGGGCCTAAGACGTCTCATCGGGGAAGCCAGACGTTTCAGGTGATGGAAGACATCCCTTTATTAATTGGGTTAGTGTCTTTAGTGTCTTTTTCTACCCAGTTTCAAAACCACCGTGGCCATTCCCTCAATTTAAGCATAACTTTAAATTAATGTGTTATATTATTTATATCAATCTATACATGGGAACACCCAAAGTAAATTAACTCCTTTAGAATATAATTACGTGACTAAAACGCTCTCGATTAATCTCCACTGACTTTAGTACCAGTGATGCGATTGAGAGAGTAGCGCAGTATTCTCCTGGAGTCCTGCTTTTCCCTCCATAGTCACTTGAACAGTAATTATAGTGAATTAGGATAACATTTACACTGTATGTACAAAAAAAATATGAAATAAATAGAAGGAAAATAACAATAAATAATAATCAAAAAGTATATACAATAAATTGGCCCCGTGATCTCCTAATGTAGTCATATCATTAGAGTGCTACCATTGGGTAGTTACTCAGCAAGTGTATTCATGTCATTATATCAATTATGTCCAAATTTACTTGATGTATTTATGTAATACAGTTGTAAATGTCATAAAGAAATAAAAATAAAAAAAAATAAAAAATATACAATAAATAAAATAAAATAATTTAAAAATAAGAAAAATAAAAATATAAACATACATACCTTGTGCCTACATGCCTTCCAGTTTTGTGCCTCGGAGCTCCCTTGTCTGATTAAAAATTGTGTATATAGGTATGTATGTGTTTTTGGCTTTGTTTTAATTTCCTCATTTTTAAGTTATATTGTTTTATTTATTTTATATACTTTCTATTATTATTTATTGTTAATTTTCTTCTGTTATTATGTATAGTGTGAATGTTAATTCACTATAACTAATGTCCTAGTGATAGATCGTTGTAATTCTCAATAAATAAATAGTAGAATATAATTAATATGGCTTTTTTTATATGCAGAAATTTGTTTGTTTTTTTGTAGCTCTTTATTTCTTTTACTTGTTTCCAGTGCGTCTGGTAATTCTCTACTTCATATTTGCTCCAGAAGATTTTAGTTCATTGAATAAAGGATTAATTACATTTTTTACTGATTTGAAAAATTTAGCATTTCTTTCAATTATAAAATCCATAACTTTAGGTATCTTTAATTGCTCATGAAGTTTTGGCACTTCATCTCTTTGCGTGGCTGTTCGTTTACGATTTTTCTTAATATTACAATATGATACGACTGTCACTGTTGGTGACTTGTTAATCATTGAAAATAATAGAGTAGAGCACAATGCGTTCAGCACAATCTTTTTTTTTTTTTTTGTCAGAAATAATATAAAAAATAAGAAAAGATGCAGAAAATGATACTTTTATCATTTAAAATATTAAATGACCTAATTCAAAATAGAGGAATAAATAAAAAAAAAAGAACTTTAATATTTATAACATTATAAAACTAACTTCTATTCCAAAGTCAGTCCAAATGAGATAATATAAGAAATATTCTCGAAGGAAATCAAACCTACTTTTTTATGAAACATTAATCACAGTTGGTCCGAAGGCCCAGAACGATACCAAAATCCAATCAATTTGCTATATTTGTTTTTATATTTAGAAATAATTGTTATGATATTGGAGGTATTATGATTACTAAGCATAATTAGACATAGAAGCATTATTTTAAGCCATGGCTGAAACAGAAAACTTCAGGTAATCTTAGTGGTATAATTAGATTTATAGTAATATATAAATCCATAGTATTTAGTATTTAGTATGCTTGACAGTATTTAATACATTAAATACATTTCATCATTTCATAAAGTGACTTTAAAGTTATTTTTATTTAGAATCAGCAAAAGTTGCTTTACACATTATAATTCCATCTGATGAAGTCTGTTTTGTTTTTATTAATATTATTCCTCTTCTTCTATTTATTCTTAACTTTATTCATTCATCTCTATTTCTTCACTCATCTGTCGGGAACACTGATAGGCTATAAGATAAATAATGTTTTATTCGTTTTTCGAATCCTACGTATTCTGAAACGTAAAACCTCAAATTTTGTGAAGGGGTTAAGGTTTTGAATTTTTGTTAGATTACAATGGTTCATTATTGAAAATAATAAATCAAAATCAAACAACAAATTAATAAATACAAAAAAAAAAAGAATCTCGAATGTGTATAAAACATACATACCTCACAAAACTTAATGAATAAATGGCTACTCCGCAAATAATACTACTAACGTCAATAATACTACTACTAACAAATCATAAAGCTTTCAAACGCCTTAAAAAGGTTAGAACAATCGCAATCTTTGGTCTAGAATTTGTCTTTTTTTCTTGATACGTGTTTTGACTTTTAGGACATAAAAATGTAGCTTATTGAATTCGTCTTATCAAAATAATAAACTAAAAAAATAAAATAATAAATAATAAGGGCAGGTCTAAGTGAAACTCCTAGCTGAACACACCTCCCAGCAGAAGACCTGCGAAGTCGGGTCGAAACGTTGGCTTTTAATAAAATAGTTTTGCCACTATTTAGCCTATTTTTGACCGCCACCCCGGACCATTTCCTTCCTTCAAAATAATAAACTATAAAATGTAGCAGATGTTTATTTTTTTTAATTAGTTAGCTCTATAAATTGTTTTCCTTTGACCTTGTTCTTTTAATATAGTATTATCTCTCTATCTTAACAGGTGAGAATTTACGTGGGTCTGACAGTTATTTAGATGGATGACAGATAATTTATGAACATGAGGTTATGTTTATCACTTGTTTACTATTATTATACTATTCAACTTTAAGCAAATGAATCGTTTTAACATTGTAATTAAAACAATTCTGTACTCCGGAGACAAAGAACGCCATGTACAATTTTGTATTAAATAATTTAGTAACTTTTTTTTTTTTTTGTTATTTATTCAGAAATATTGCAATCTGTCACAATCAAGAACATTTATAATAGTGTTCAGAGAGCACATTGACTCTCCATTTACAATAAATAAGAGAGAAACTAATGATAATAAAAGTAAATGTATATTACCGCGAGGTTCGGTTCACCCATGTGTCAGGTACAATTCATACAAAAACTAAAAAAAAAAAAAATTAGTAACCAAGAAACAAATTTTAATCCCGGAAAGTTATGGAACATTGATTTCCTAATCAGATACCAAAATGTGACATGTGCTTTTACACCGGGGTACAGGTTAAATATCTACGAAACAAATTTTAATAGTTCAAAGTTATGGAATGGTGGCTCCCCTGAACAAATAAAAAAAATAGATAATATCAGTTATTCGAAACGTTGTTTGTCAGAGAATGTCCAACTCGGTTTCCGAATCAAAAATTGGTACGTGCCCATTTCGATGAAAATATGGTGAGTATTATTTTTAAAAAACATCTACTAAAGTACTGCTGTTTTTCATAGTCATTTAAGTGATTCTTTCTCCATATTTTATTAAAATGTGGTCGTCATGAACACAATTTTCTAAGTTAACAAAAGAAATATAATTATTCTTGTTAGTTAAAACTGCCGAAATTTCCATAATGTTTTAATTTGAATAGAAAACAGTATACCTCATTTTCAATTGCATCGATGTTAAAGTGCTATTGAATACTCTTTTTCAATATAAAAAAAAGTTTTGATTCCATAAAATGAAATTTTAAATACTTAATACCTGACCTAGTATCGTTTAACTAGATTATGTGAATCTATTTCAGCTGAAATCTGGGAGGAAATAGTTTATTCTATTGAAATATCGGACGTACCTCATTGCAGTTTCTTATCTAAATGAAATCAATGGAAATTAAGTTAAAATTATATGAAACTAGATTTTTAGAAATCAACTATACGCAAGTGTTAACAAATATTGTTGTAATATGTAACTTGACAGCTAGCATATTGGTGTTTTGTTAAGAGACATTAAAACTTAATTGGATTTAAAAAGTTTGACTTCGGATATTAAAAGTACCTGAAAATTTGACACATTCGGGCGTTTCACTTATACCATAACGCTAAACAAATCGAATAGCGTTATGTTTTATTTCCTGAACTGCTTGTATATTGATAATTATCACAATCTGTCTCAATAAAGGACATTTATAATAGAGTTCTGAGAGCAATGTTTTATTTCCGAAGTTAAACATAATAATCATTGACAAATTTTCTGGAAACGCGGAAAATTATATTTTCTTTTTGGATTAAAATATCGTAATTAAAGAATTCTTTATTTATATCCCCGGAAAAAAATTAATAGTAATTAAAAAGCATTGAAGCTTAAATTGGCCGCTTTGATGCTGGTTTACTTCAAGGCTCATTTGGAACTAAATCCGGAGTGCGGTTTGGAGAGAAAAAAATTGTTTGTTTTTTTTTGGGCGGAAAATAGTTATTTAAATTATACTATAAAATTTTGCTGTTTTTACAATAAAATTTATTTTTAATTTTCATTTAAATGAAAAGCTTCTATGAATTATTTTTTTAAATAGCAATTAAGAAGCACTTGTACCGTTACGTTTATTGAAAAAGGCCGATTTTGGAAATAAACTTATGTCGGCTTAATTTTTTTTTTAAATTAATTAGATTCGTTATTGAAAAAACAAAACAAATATTGCACCATCGGATTCATTGGGTCTTTTTAATTGGAATAAGCGCCTCAATTATACGACTTGGTATTATGCATTACGCAATATTGATTGTGTGGGGAATACGGAACTTGTATCTTTATGCTGTTAAGAAATATGTTAAAGTATTATATTAATGGGAGGTAATAATAGGTATAGGTATTTCCTTAAATTTTTATTATTAAGATAGCTGATTTAATAAGTAGTACTTTATTTACTTAATCTCATCCTCTTTTACCACACAGCAGCATGAGGTTCCCTTCGATGGAGTTTGTTGCAGAAATCTCTATCCTAAACCATCCGTCCTCTTCTTCCCCATTTCAATCCTCTTCTATCAAAGGCCTTCCGAATTGCGCTTTCCCGTCTTCCGTGGTCTTCCTCTTGATCTTTAGTAGTATATATATATATATATATATATATATACATATATTGTGAAAAAATATAACAATATGGTCTTTAAAGAAAATTGTATATAAAACGTAAGTATGTTTTAATTTTTTTTTTGTTTTTATTAATGATTTAAAATTTCTTTTTTCAGACTTGCAATTCCCTATTGATGTGAACTCTGTCGAGAAGGACCATCCATTCTTGGACCCCGACTCCCTGCAGTCTCTCTTCAGGAGGCTGCAAGCGCTCAACAAGTGCGCGGCGATGAAGATAGACGCACCTGCGAAACAACAAGTAAGTTCACAACTTATTTAGGACACTGTTTTTATTTTATATTTATATTATTGTTCGTACTGAGCTATAGATTGGTCTAACGGTTCTTCAAAACTATTATAATAAGCTTTACCTCGTTTAGTAAAGATCGTCCTTGCTATTTCGGCAAATGTCTTCTTTAACACTAATATTTTTACCACAAATAAAAATCTTAATTGTAGCATTAGAATCGTTTATTTCTAATGTGGACCCTAATCCATTTTTATTCACAAATTGATATAATTATTGATTCCTATGTGAAACACCCTATGTGAAATACATTCAATCAGACCGTATATTTAAAATAAAAAAACGAACATAAATATTGAAAAATTTAATGTGGACATTTTTTTCTCAAGAAATCATAGTGAACCTACATTTCTAAAGTATTAAAAAAAATAAAGATTTGTTTATCATTTGTTAACAGATTATTCATTTATTTATCATTCGTTAAAAAAGATCATTTATTCATTTGATTCGGATGAAAATTAAAAATAAATTTATCTTATTGTACCAATATTGTAAATGAAATGTTAATTTTTTATAGTAATGTTTAATAACTTTTTCTTCTCGAATCATAGACCATTTTTCTCTTCAAACTTCCGTTTTTTCCATTTCTAAACCAAAGTTTAATTCGTTCCAAAAGCAGCTCTATTTAAGTTTCAGTGTATTTCTATTACTATAATCAAAGATTTTCTAAAATATCTACTACCGATGAACGAATCTCTGATTTATTTATCTTTTTTTACATACTGGTTTTGATATTAGAATTGAAACAGTAAATATAGTTTTTTCTCCTAGTTTTTTTCTCCTACGGAATTGTCAGTGATGATCCAGGGTTCGGTTTAAAAATAAACAAATCATTTGTTTGTTCGGGAAATCAACAATTTCAAATAGCGATGGAATGAAGTGTATGTAGCTATTTGTTGTCTAGGAAACCTCCAGGCATTTCCTGTCGCCGCCACATGTCGCCAGAAAAGAAACATCTGTTAGAATTGAACTGCGTAGATAGATTGAGGGTATCTTTGAATCATCTCTCACAGCAAATATTTTGCATCAAAAACGATTTGAGACCCGCTCTTTCTCTACTTTTACTATACTACTGATAATTTATCTAAGGAGTAGTAACTTTTAAATAAATTTAAAACCATAGATAGTCATTAAAATAGACAACAGCAATATTTTTATATTATTTTATTTTTTTCTGATTTTCTGGCAGTCTAGAGCTATTTTAAATTCTTTCATGGTTCTTCATTTTATTTATCCAATTTTAAGAGCAAATCATCTGTAGCTAAATTATTAGATTTCTTTTCTTAGGTTGTACTGCCTTTGGCGGGTTATTTCCAAACTATTTCTCTCATTCTTGAATCTTCTTTATTGGGCTTATAACAATATATATCGTGTTTTAAAATAAAACGATTCGTTATTATTTTTCAGAAATATTAACACAGCACAAAAAACAAATGGAGCTTTATTTTTACTTGTCTCAACATAAACTATGGTTATGCATATTTGCTGGTATATATGGAGATTTGAAAATGAATTAAGCTAAGAATGGAAAATGCCATGGGTTAATAGATCAAATATGTGAGAGTTTCTGAGTCAAATGTTTAGCAAAAATTCAACTAATTAATTTCAAACTAATGATTTTTGGATAGTTTTACAATTCCACTTCCTACAAGAATACATAATGACTAGTAAGCACGAAGATACAAACTTCATACTTCGCTTAATGTACTGGGCAAATGAGTTACATGAAAACATCTTTAGTTTTCTTGATTAATACCGAAAATTTTCACGGCATTAATTATGATAAGAGAAGGAAGTTTCACGAATTTCAAAACAAATGTATTAAAAATACAAGCCATGACATAAGATCCCATTTTTAAGCATTTGTAAAAACACTATCTAGCTGTCAAGAAACAACTATTCTGAGTTATACGTGTAGAAATTATTAGAGAAAACGGACATCCAGCCTATCTATCTTGACTCAGTTGTTTAATTGTGCCACTATCTGTTGCTCAATTGCTGATACAGGAACTGCTCGAAGACATTGAGTAATTTACTCTTTTGCTATTGCGCAATTATTTGATGTATTTTCGCCTTATCCAAACACACTTCACTGTGAGATAGTACGTACAGACAGTATTAGCATAGAAGACACGCCCGCTCATTATAGTCCCTGTTGTGAGGGCCAATGATAACGGACTTAAAAGTTATTTTTATGGGTTTTCAATTTCAAATGGGTTTTTAGTAGATATTGGACTGAATATAAATTTAGTTTCATAATAAACTTTTATTACTTTAAACTACATTTAAATTTTGAAAGAAAGTTTTGAAACAAAAATAAAACATTGCGTTAAAATGTTATCTCTTCCGTAGTAATCCCACAGTGTAAGAAGGTGCGTAATAATTTTACGCGTTAACATAACGGCGATTTACACAGGCACACGAATATCCATTAGAATTCATCGATTGTTTTAACGAAGGAAGGGAGGGGAGTTCCTTTAATAAAAACAATTAAATGATATATTTTAATTCAAATTTTAGGTAATAAAAGTAAATTCAATTAATGGATGTCCCGAAATGGAGTACAAATAAATATGTAAATGCTTAATCAATAAACTGAATGCAGTTTTAATTCTATTTATAAAGAAATAATGAAAAGATTTTTTTAGGCAAAAAATTGAATTTCAGACTTTCTTTATATTTAAATAAAATTATAATTAATGACCCAAAATAAAAAAAAATGTTTATAATATTGCTGCCATGTTTTTCGATTTAAACCTGCCCAGCCCGTCAACAAAAACACGCTGGAGTGACGTTCTGCATCTATTTTATTAGTATTTTTAAACAGCTGATGTGAGATGTGCATCTCTTTTTTTATATAAAAAGTTTCTATTTTTGATAAAAAAAGCATTTCTAAGACATAAATTAATAAGCAGATAACGTTTGAAAATCAAAGATATAATTGTAGTAAGTAAAGGCGTGAAATCAATTGATAATTGACGGCTTAGATAAACGCCGTTCATAATTCAATAGATATTTACTCTAAAAAAATATATTTTATGTTTATAAAACAGCTTTTGAAGTTACCTACACTTTATTTACAAACATTCTCAGAAATAGGGCATATTTCTCATTAATGATAAGGTACTAATACCCATAATACCTATGCACTTTAAGGTAACAAAATCGAGGAAAAATGTGGCCTACAAAAATATTGGGCAGTTTGGCCTAAATAACCTCGTTATTTTAACATAATGGTAGTGGAGGTTGCGCCAAACCGTCAAATAGTTTTGCAGGCCACTTATTCTGATATCAGGCGAACTGAAGATCTGCTGAGGACTGAACTTGTCCTAATTCTTAACTGCCTTAAAAGGCAGATTAAGCCTTTCAGCGTAAACGAGAAGCGAACTCTACCTTAAATGCTGCCTACGAATTCCGTAGGTTTTCAACAGGCTTCCGCCTACTCTGGCCTAGATATACGAAACTGGTACAGTCTAATATTTTGAAAATATTATTTATTATCTCTTAATGATATTTATAACTGTATTAAAGAAATACATTTAGCAAATTTGAACATATGGATATAATGACGTGAAAACACTTGTTGAGTAACTACACAATGGTAGTAATCTGATGATATGTCTCCATTAGGAGATCAAGGGGCCATCTTCTTTTCAGATCCCTCGGAGGGTTATCAGGAATTGAAGAGTAACCAAGGTTAGAAACGAGAGTGTTGGGATGATTCTGAAGTTTATTATGGTAGGATAGGTATCTGGATTGGGCCAGATCTGAAACATAAGAAACATTAAGGTCATTATGGATGGTTTTATTTTTAAGATAGTAGAGATCATTGAGGATTTTACGAAGGATTTTGGATTGTAAGTATTGAACACGAGAGGAATTCAATGGTTTAGTGGAGCCCCATAGCTCAACTCCGTAATTCCGAATAGGCCTTATTATAGTCACATATATGAGTATTTTGTAATTAATTGGAAGTTTAGAGCGTTTGTCTAGTAATTGCTGAAGTAATCAGAAATGTTGAGCGGTTTCTTATCATTCCAGTCTGGTGTGAGGATTGAAAATTAATTGTATAAATTGAAACTAAAATGAAAATATATAAACAACAAAATCTATCAACAATATAAAAACTTCAAATATATAAATTTCTAGATTTAGAATTTATTCACAGCTTTTTCCTCATTTTTTTTGTTATATCCTTGGGTTAATTTAAACTGAAACCTTCCGGTCTGACAATTTATATAATTAGTATTAATTTGTTAAAGAAGAACTCGCATAATAATGGAATGAAGTAAATATATTTCTTTTGGGTCTAAATAAAAATAAATTTGTATTGAGTTATCTAAATTAGTATCCGTACCTGATGCAAGGAAAAAACAAGTTAATATATCAATAAACTTTCACTTTTTATTTGTTTTTAAATAAACTAAAAGGAATTTTGTATGATTTTTATTTTATATTAAAGGGTCAATATACGTCAGAATCGTCTTTTTAATTTTAAACGGATATGGTTTTCTGGTTATTGTTGACATTTCAGTCACTTGTATTTTTAGCTTTCCAGACCGTTGCATACGTTTATCGTGTTTCCTCAGTTAATTCTTATCTTTCCCCTTATCATTCACTAGGAAACGCGCGTAGTTCCTTGTTGTCGCTGGAAAAAAAATCCTACACCGAACAGCTTACAACCTTCCATACATTATCTATAGTTTTATCCGTGCGAAGTCTATCTCTTGACATCCTAATTCGATAATTCATATCTTTATATTTCGTCTAGAATTAAAAAAAAATCACAGTGTTGGCTTGTGAAAAATTGTGATTGTAATATTTGTAGTTTTGGTATAACATAAGGACTAAAGAGTTTAAGCATTATAAAGATAAATGCTTATATACTCATTCATGGGAACATAATTACTAATAATAAAATATTTGACTTTAACTTTCATTCCCATCAATACGAGGAGGCTAAAAAAGCACTGGATGAGATAGCCCCTTTCTTAAAAATCCATGGTAATAGAATTAAGCCATTGAAGAGGCACTGCCGAGTAATATTCTTCTCAATGCCTCACATGTCATTTCGATTATTTATATCAGACCATCTCCTAATTGTCAACAGTTTGTCCACAGATGAAGATGAATATTTAAAGCTAAAAAAAGAAAGAAATGATCATATATCTACTTACAACGTAACTTACAAGTAACGTAAATTACAAGTACTCAAAGGATGTTGAGCCACATTTGTTGAATTATTGTTTATTTATCTGCAGTCATTCAAAATATTTAAATAGATATCGTATTTTTGGTATATATTTTAAAAAATAATCTTTAAAAAAATAATAATGGATGAAACATTGTACTATGTACAGATTTTTTTCATTCAAAATGTTTTCTAACATAGATATACTGCACTTATGAATCCTGAATGTATGTAAATTATATACAGAGAGTATTATAAATATAAAATTAAGGATATTATATAATAAAATAAACTTTATAAAAATACAAAATGCATATAAAGTTATGCATTCTTTTTTTTTTTTTTTTACTATAGTAAGGATCTTCAATAGATTAGATAGCTGAGTAAATCCACTTTTTCTTTTTTTAGCAACCCGTTTCTCCGTATTTTGTTTTGGTTAAGGTTGTTCTGGTTAAAGTTGACCAACACAATAGAACAATATTCACAAAGCATGAACAATGTTAAATTCATTGATTCGTCTGCGGACACGCAGAAGGTTCGGAATTGCCTCCCATCTTTCAATGCATCCCTTCCCTTAGATCCGACCATATCCATCATATCTTTACAATACAATTTGACAAATCATCCATTTGAAACGTTGAAATTCCATTCTCTCCTCCATCCATCGTTCCAAATATCTTTCAAATTTTGTACTTGTACGTTCTATACATTGGTAATACGCTTCATTTTGGTTAGGAAATCAATCAGAAGTGAATTTTATTTTATAAATATTTATATGATTTCACATTGTTGAAAATATTCGTATGTGAATAATTGCTATTGTTGTAAAAAGTCTAAAATTCTCAAATTCTAAAATCTCTTTGTGAAGTTTGTGTTGAAATAATAGTTAGTTTATTTAAATTTCAGAGTACTCAACTTTATTTTATTTGAACTTAGGGATCAAATATAACGGTTGGTTATGTATTGACCCCTAGTCCGAAAATTTTTTTTTTCCTTTAATTTTATATAAGCTTTTTTTATACTTAAGCCTATATTCGCCAATGTTAATTCAAGTTGAATCGTGTTTAGTATTAATGGTGGCTCCTTCTCCAAACTTCATGGTTGGTAGGCTTTCCTCGAAATGATAATTTGTACAGCCAGTTGGCCAATCCAGCAGGAGTTCCCGGTGGACAATAGTGGAACAGGAGGCCCCGAAGAAGGAAGGAGGACACAGGATACGAAAAGAATTCTTTTCCTCGAGTAACGGGGCCAGTTCCTTAGCGGGTGACTGTCGGCTGACCCCGGGCAGACAGCGTGGTGCTCGTTACCCTCTTCTTCGGGAGGCTAAGCGTTCAAGGTCCTAACGCGCATGAATCTCCGTCTGGCTCCCATAGTTCAGTGCGGCTTACATTGCCATCATTTTTAAATAATATTTGGAGTTTATTCAGAATTCTTTATTTATTTATTATTAAAAATCCAGTTTTGAAATTATTTTGGTTTCCATAATTCAGTGAGAATGATCTATTTTTTATTGACTTTTATTCTCACTAATTTTTGCTGTATCGCTTGGTTACTAGTTTGTTGTATTTCTCTGTAGACCTATATCCTTACCTGTTGTGGCAATCTGCAGATATGTTGTAATTGGTAATAATTGCATTACAGGCATGAGGAACACAGGCGGATTTACGGTGGAGGGAGGGGAAGGAGGGCTTTCGGATTGAAGCCTCCCCCAAAATGGTAAAATGTAACCATGTTTTATGGTAAAAAATTATGTCTTAAAGTATTATTGCTCGTTTAATTACATTTAATAGGACTTCAAGAATCACTTAAACGCCATTTCATATAGGTAGTTAGTATCTTTCTGTTTTTCCAAAGTATTTATCGTTATATATATATGGAAAAAAAAAAGCTTTCGGGCTGAAGCTCCCTCCTCAAAATTAAATCCTGGATCCGCTATTGATGAGGAAGATAGTACCCAGCAGGACTTCTTTCTGGTTTTTGGTTTCTTCCTTAAATCAGGAAAGGAGGTATCTTATTCAGCTGATTTTTAGTCGCCTTCTGATGGACATCGTCAACCGTGGCCATATCGATTATAAATCCGTTGTTATGTCCGTGCAGTTTAATACGAAACCGGGAGTAAATTGATTGATCAAGTTGATAGTTGTGAGTTAATACAAATTTAACTTTTATATTTGGCAATTACCATAAGATTTAATTCTATAATGCTTACTTTTACCGATGTTTACAATTTTTATCTTAACGAACTCTTTTAAAATTGGTTAATAATTTTTAAAATGCATTCAGTTCATCTCGATATTTTTAAGATGCAAAACTGCAGCATAATACATTAACTAAAAGCAGATGTTGTAAATGATTTTGGAGGATACATACATTTCTGTTCTCCAGCAATTACTTAGCTAATTATGTAGCTAATCAAGATCACTTGTTTGTTGGTATTATTGGAATTATTTTCAGTTTTTCTATTCTTATCTTTATTTCTAGTTGTAATTGAAATTTACCTGAATCGAGCCAATGAGTTTTTAACATTATAACTTAAAATTTAAGTCTGTGAAATAACACATAAACTGTTAACTGTTTTATCTCGGTACTTTTGTGGTCTCTCTGAAACTGTTAACTTAATGGGACAAGTGAATGCTAAAATTAATTGGGCACTTTTAATTACTCCTATGTTATTTTGTCTGTTTTAGTTTCTTTAGTTAATGGAGACAATTGATCTATTGAGTGAGCAGATACGTTTTAAAGGGAATAAAGCAACTTTTAAAATTATTTTTCATATTTATATCTATTTGCATTGCTCTTTTTGAGTTTTAACTTTATAGAAAGGGTCTTAAATACATTACCCATTTCAACCATGCATCTCACTTCAAAATCTTCAATATAAATAGCAACAATCATTAATAATCAAAACATCACTTTTAAAAGAGTATTATTTATATATTAATTGTATTTATATATACATATATTTATTCAGAATATCATGAATTAACTATACAAAAATTAAGAAAACTATATTAATAAAAAATAAAAGAATATCTTACAAAGGTGAGAAATTATTTTTCCCCTCCCCTCTCCTATAGATCAATCACCTATAGATAGAGAGCGTATTGACTGAAAAAACCGACATAGTATCTTAAATTCATTGGACGCATTTGAATAAAAAGAATTGACGAAAATATCTTTTTTTCTATTTTTTATGAATTACTATGAATGGAACATTACATAGTATTGAACCACATCGCAATCTCAGTGCAAAAGGTCGTATGTAAAACTTGAGGTTATTTACAAAAGATCATAAAAACTGATTATTTCTTTATAGTAAAATCCTCAACGCTCCTTACTTTGTCACAAATAAAATCATCCATAAAGACCTTAATGTGCCATATGTTTCCGATATGGCCCAATCCAGATACCTAACCTTCGAACTCCAGAAACATCCGAACCCTCTCGTTTCAAACCTTGCTTCCTCCTCGATCCCTGATAATCTTCCGAGGCGTCTGAAAAGAACGTGGTCTCGTGATCTTCTTGTGTAAATTTATTATTTGAGTGCTATCAGTGGGTAGTTTCTCAACAAGCGATTTCATGTTATTATATTCCTGAGTTCACATTTACTGGTTGATTTTTTTTATAATACAGTTGTAAATATCAATGAAAAAAATTCTGTATGATTTATTAGCATAATTTCATATTTTCTTTCTCTGTACTATTTTTCATAATAAACTATTCATTCCAAATGTAGACTACAAATCTTGAGCACATATAGAATTAGTATATAAAATTGTTACACTTTGCAATATCAGCAGTGAAATATTGGACATTGTGCAAAAATTTGGTGTAAATCTTCGTTGATATGATATTACATAATGTTCAGTTGTTTTGAGAGTTAAATGTGACTAAATTTTAATTTAAACATACTTTGAAACAATTATCACTGGAAGTGTGTAACAGCATGTTATATTTTTAACATGATTAGGTAGGCTGATTGTATGGATGAGGTTTATAAGTAAGAGGATAAAAATTGTTTTATAGATTAGAAACTATAAAGTAGATAATGAAATTAATTATCACATTGAAATTTCCATCTCTTTGAAATTCATTTTGAGCCATGATTCTAAAATAATGATAGTTTAGTTAATTTTTAAATTTATAATCCGTAAAAAAAAAATGCAGTATGTCGATAATATAAATAACTGGAAAGAAATAGACCAAGAGATGCTGAGATCGAGGAGGTTGGTTTAGGCTGAAAAAAATCTGCAAGGTCTGTAATACCTACGGAAAAATAAATCGATAACGCACATCGATACTTCTACATTTTGTGATAATATAATTTTATTATATATTATATTTGTTTGTTAATTAACAAAGACAGAATCCATTGGTCAAACATTTATAATGTAGCGGAGACTATCGAAGCGGCTAGAGCAGCTATATTGTAGTAGGAGACTATAATACTGGACGCTATCAGGACACTATTTGCCCTAGTCAGGTAATCGAGCCGCTGGAGAATCGAACGCTGGAAACTGGAACGCCTTATCAGGAGCACTGTCACTCAGGCCAGGTTCCTTCTTCTATCTGCCGCCTTTTGTCTGACGTGTATTATTGGTCCTTGTCCACCACTCCTACCTTTTGCCCTATTATTCCATTCATTTTATTATTTACCACCTAACAATATTGTTTCAATCTCGATTTTAAATTTTTAATTACTTTCTCTCTCTCTATCTCGTAGGCTATTCCAATCAACTAGGGTCCATGAAAAAAAAAAAAAAATGCAACTTTTATTTATATTTTTTTAATATCCTTACATAAAAAAACCTTTCTCGTGCTCCCTATACAACAAATTTGTTTAAGGAAGGAGATGTTCCGGGGTGGCGGTCATAAATAGACTAAATAGTGGCATAACTATTTTATTAAAACGTTTCGACCCGACTTCGCAGGTCTTCTTCAGGGCTAGAACGGACAAGATACAAAAATATATTGAGAATTGTGGAAGTTACATCGCATTTAAATAAAAAATTATGAACAATGTGATTGAACCTATTAAAATTATAAGCAGTAAGTACATTAAAATATTAAAAACAATAAGTTGTATAAACAGAGTAAGCAAACAACAAGATCCTAAACTGATGTGGTTACTTAGCTTACATTGTTTATACAACTTATTGTTCTTAATATTTTTATGTACTTATTGTTTATAATTTTAATAAGTTTATTCACATTGTTAATATTTTTTTATCTAAATATAATGTAATTTCCACAATTCTCTATATCTTTTTGTATTTTGTTCGTTCTAGCCCTCAAGAAGACTTGCAAAGTCGAAACGTTGGTTTTTAATAGTTTTGCCACTATTTAGTCTATTTATGACCGCCACCCCGGACCATCTCCTTCCTTAATAATGCAACGGTCAAGTATTCAATCAAACAATTTATTTATTTGTTCTATGTTTGATGAAATATTTAAATTGTGAAATTCAATATCACTTGCCGCAGCACTTTGTAATGTAAGATAAATACGAGCATATCGTTTGTGCATCTGTTCTTCAGTTTATATCAGGAGCAATCTAAGTCCTGAGACAGGCACAGTACACGAAACTTTAGAAAATTCGAATTTATTTTTAAATATAAAAATTTAATTACAATCAAATTTTAGAACACTTTTAAAAATCGTCGGTCTTTGCAAGTTTCTTGTTGGCCTGTGCTTAAATCAGTCGCTGTTCGAAAGATTAAACAAACGACTGAAACTTTAAATCTACATACTTAAACACTTATTTTGGCTTATCCCTCACAAAATACCTCACAATGACAATGTACCATCATTTCAATGCAACTAGTTAGAAAGACATCATGGTTTGCAAATAACAAAACTTTCAGTATTGACTTTGGCTAATAACCTTGCATTTATATGTTCATACTCTGTGTGACATTGTTAATGTTTAAAATCGCTTACTGTATGCCATTATAAAGTAGGTTACATCGCAACAACAAAAGTTTTATATATTATAAGTTTCACATAAACAAAAAGTCTCCAGAGTTTGTTAGTTTTAAAATGTAATTACCTAAAGCACGATCCATTGTTCTAGTTGGCAGAGGGCCACGGCTCCATCTCTTTCCATGTCGCCAGGTCACCGCAAGGACCACCCCAATTGATGGTAGAAAGCTGTAATGGATCATCCGCTTGGATAATGGACCAATGTTAAGGCTCTAGCCTTCTCTTTGTCGAGCGCTCTATTTATCAAGGGTGTAGTAATTGATTGCGCCGCACTTGCGTTCACCGCAGTGTTACATAAACACTTAAGGGGATAGACCATCCTTATCTGGTGCCTCTATGGCTATCTCATCTCTTGGTCTCA